AGGCAAATGATGTCATACATCCCCGGAGTCTTCAGGAGGGGAGGGTTCTCAGCTTAACCAATGCCTGAGCTAAGGACAGGTGGATTCCAGGAAGTAACTGCTACATGAATCATCTGCCTTACTCAAGATGGCCACTGCCAGAAATGCCAGGAGGTGTTATTCAAAATGATTTCTCACCAAAATAAATCAAATGAGACATGGATGGAGGAGTTTGTTTTGAATACTAAAATGAATTATATAGCATTTTTGGTTTCTGGTACTCAGATGCAGTGCAGTTCCACTTTAATGACCAAATTTCCATCTGGAATTTCTGGAAATGTTTACACATGTGGAACTGGTGTGACTGCCATCCTTTTCATCATGGACTTTATTTGACATTCCAAACACCCTTTATATTGGAAAGCAAAAATAAAAATACAAGGACTTTCTAATGTCCTTTTCTCTGCCATGACTTATTTAAGACATAATGAGGCAATAAAAAGAAAATGAATATGTTGTAATAAAGCAGTAATTAGGAGGAGAGATGGTGCCAGTGTGAAAAATGGCCCTGTGCACCACTAGTCAACTGGACACACAGTTGGACAATTTAAAGCATAAGATGAAAAACAGGCAGTGAAAATCATGAGCAAGAATAATTAGTAGGTCTATGAAAATGTCAACATTTTCCGTATAAGTGAGCAATGTTCGCCCCTAAGAAATATGTAGATTTAATCTTTAATATTCTTTGCTTAATCGTTAATTAGTGTTTTGGTTTGTTTTTTCAACCCCAAATCTGCCCAAAATAGTAGATACCAGCAGGAGCGGACTGACAACTCATGGGGCCCCCAGGCAATAGGGCATCATGGGGCCCCTGTGTCCTTGCCCAAACTCAAAAAAGCCTATGAAAAAGGTACCAGGGGCATCTTGTGTGGCCCCCTACTGACCCCAGGCCCTCGGGCAGTGCCCCAGTTTCCAAATGGTCAGTCCGCCCCTGGATACCAGTGCCCAGAAACACTGGATGAAAACCTTCCTTATTCAGACTTACCCTATTTTCACATCTATGCGGGGGGTGCCGCTGCAGATCCGCACGAAAATTCGTGCAGCCGCACCACCCGCACAGAGAACTGCGGACCCGCGGGCGGGTGCCATTACTTCCAATGGCGCGCCGCCCGCACTGGAAAACACAACCGTACTGGAAACCGAGGTTCCCATGCGGGCTGTGTTTTCCAAAGAAGTGCAAGAACTTCTTCCCTGCGTGCCCCAGGGCACGGGAGTCCATTCACATCTATGTGGCCCACACGGACGCATAGATGTCAACGGGGGGTCAGGCAGGAGAGGCCAAGTAAAGCACAACCTGTGACACATCACTCAGCCAGCCCAGACTCTGGAGAGATCCCGACTTTCAAGCTTTATTGATGTACAGATATCGGTACAATAACACAATGCAACACAGTACACAATCAAAAGCATGAGCAATCAAATCCAAACAGGTCTCACGTTGCAATTTGTTGTGACAAAACTATAAAATGAAAGATTTTATATAAATTAAACTAAGAAGACATCAGACAGAAGGGAAGGAGTAGGAGCGATGAGAATGGTCAACAGTAAATTAGAGGGGGGGATAATAAAGCAACTAGACTGGGCCCTCAGGAGATATTAAAATGGTACAGTACAGGACAAAAAATAGATACATCAATACATACATTTAAGAATTTGTTCTCAGTTTCCCACAATGGCTACAGTGGGACTCGGCGGCAGATTGAATAAAATGAAATTCGCCAACCTGGAGGAACCAGAAGGGTAAACTGGCCCACTAAATAAAAACAGGTGTCAGAATGTGAGAGCCACCAGTCCCATATTTTGTTATATTTAGAGGGACATCCCCGATGACGTTATATCAACTTTTTATAGGAAAGCGTAGAATTAACATCAGTCAACCAGGAATGAAACTTGGGAGGGGCCGCCTGCATCCAAGTATGTGCAATCACCTTTCTAGAACTAAACAGAGTATAGATCCCGAATTCAATGTCGGGATTCACCCAGATGCCTGGACCACATGCTGCTGAGATCCTGAGCAAGCCGCTCCCGCCCCCTCCACAGCCCAGCATTCCAGTGAGCACTGGAGGGGCAGAACAGAGGGCTCAATAAAGACTGAGAACTGAGCAATCAGCAATCTTTGATCTCTTGGTTCTCAATCTTAGAAGCGGCATGGGACATCCACATAGGGGAGTATAGAGGGTTTTTTTTTTTTTATTCCTGAACTTCTCTTTTAAATTAACAAAGGCCTTGTTAAAATAGCAGTTTTCGCTGCAATACCCACATCCTTTTCAGTTCTGTCCCTTGTTGACATTCCAGTTTACAATCCAGCGCCAGTAGTCCTCTACTGGGTGTCATTCAATCCACTTTCTGTGAGCCCAGAGCATCAAAGATATGCCCATGCTGGGAAATCAATAAGCTGACTCACAGGAGAAATCTACAGAGAACAGGATTCACCCACCACCAGAAGAAGAAGGGGACCCATGACATCACATGACTGGACAGAAGACCCATGGAAAAAAGGGATATGTACTTTTTTTATTCCCAAAACACCTTGGAATGAAGATATTACTTCCCCACATCTAGGCACTGTTGACTGAGATAGTCCTCCTGCCAATTGTCCAGTCTGGGAATGTGGACCATGGACAAGGCTGGAACGTGTGACACACTGCTCCTGACCTAAGGTACTCTTGCCACCAACTCCATTGTGCTCAAGGCAGAGGCATGGTGACCAGGGACTATGCCCATGCTGGAGAAAAGGGAGGACCAGTTGTGAGAGGGTTAGAGGCGCCCTACTGGACCCACTCTACCAGGGTACAAGCACTTTTACAGAGAATAATTCCCCATTCTGCCCACTTCTCCTCCATGGAGTGGGTCTTCAGAGACTGGAACCACCATATTCAGATAGCCACTGCCCTGAACACTCAACTACACCACATTGCTCTGCTGCACCAAGGGTGAGCACCACATATGTAGTCCATTGCCTAAGCAGCATTATAGGCCAACCCTAAATCTTCCCAGATCTGGGTATGATTCCCTGATGCACTGGCGAGGGGTGACCCAACTGGAAACTGTAATTCTTTTGCTGCAGTGGTGTTGATGCAGCTAGGAGGAGGAGAGATTTCTTCATGTGAAGAGCCAGCAAAGTCTTCAATCTTCCAATATAATTAGAATCATAAGCCATAAACCTGCTCTCAGTACAGAGAGGTCATCCATAATTTAAAGTGGCAGCATGGTCAGGATTTAAAGGAAACTGTCTTGTGATATACAATTAAGAAATCCAAGTTTTCTGAAGTTCTGTGAATCATAACCATTTGCCATTAAAACATAGTAAAATACTTATTTTCACTTCTTTCATCATTTTGTTGCATCACATTGCTGCTCCCCTGTAGCTTCAACCTGTCTAATTGCACTTTAATGAATGCTGCAAGGCATTTGTCACAGCAGGTTTTCTAATGGTGACAATTGAGTCAAACATTTTTGCATAAAATGTATAATTAAGTGGCCACTTGTAATCAGGATGACAACGCAGGAAAATAACTGGGAGACAAGGATAAAGTGTTGTCACGTTTTGAACAATGTGATTGAGACTAACTCCATCTTTCTGTCACTTTAAAATAGTTCATTTGGACCAAGCTAGTCCACACACACTATTACCTTCACTAACAGATGCGCCCGCTGTCAGCGCTGTATAAAATGTATGTAGCATCAGCTATATACAGTATACACCGTTGTGTTCTGCCAGCAAAATAGGGAGTTGGGCTGGGAGCAATTGGCCATTAAAGGAAGCATTTTCTTTTCTTTTTTTTTTTTTTAATCCAAACAACTTTTATTGTCAAGAGAAAATGGAACAGTACTTACAGAATCCACAATGACATGACTGCAACAGCAGGATTACACATAAATGGAACAGCGTGGATACGCAGATCCCGCAATAAACAGAACAACAGAAATGGTAATCAAACAAAACAGAGACCACAAGGATCCAAAACTTTCTTGACAATAGCTGGCTTTATCCTTTTTACGTCTTATTCTTTCCTGGCCAGTTGTAGCATTTTGTTTTGTAACTGTAAAGAAGGCTTCCTCTGATAGGCTGATCATGACGTCATACTGCTACAGGAGCACAGCGCTGCATATTGTGCATAGCTCTTGCTACATACAGTTTATACAGCGCTCCCAGCAGACACATCTGTTAGGGAAGGCAATACTTTGTTTGAATCTGCTTGGTCCTAACTAACTATTTTAAAGAGACCAGAAACTGGAGCCTGGCTTTAATGTGTAACTCCAAGGCATTTGTGATTGGATGAGTGGAGAAGGGTGGAAGGGGTTTATTGAAAGTTTTTGTAGCTAGAGTTCAGCTTTAAGCTCATTAAACAATGATGCAAAAAGCTAATGGAGTTAATTTACTAAAGGCAAATAGACTGTATGCTCTGCTAGTGCAGTTGCACTCATTTTCCCGTAGGCTCCGTACACACGATGAGTATATTGGGCGAATGAGCGTCCATTTTTTTTTTGCATGTTAGTCTCATATTGAAAGTGAAGAGGTTGAGAAAATTCTTGTACGACAGAATAAAAATTCAAAAGTGATGTAATGTATTGTATTGTATTTTTGCATGAAAACTGTAGTGATTAGATGAAAATCGTACAATCTGGTATCATACAAGAAACATTTTTTAAAGTGATATTTTTCATACGATTTTCTGATCGTGTGTACTAGGCTTAAGTGAATGTACTGTGGTAAAGCTTCACTTTGTAAAGAATACCAAGTCTGATGCAAGGAAAATAATAAAAAAAAAAAAAAAAATAACATTTTTTTTTTGCTTGCACATGATTGGATGATAGAAATCAGCAGAGTTTTACCGCATTTATTACGTTCTGGGGAAAATGAATGCAACTACACTTGCACAGTGCACAGTCTACTGCCTTTAGTAAATCCACCCCAAAGTGCTGTAATACTTGTTTGGAAAAAACTATAGATAACTAACCTTGTATATACTACAGAATAGTACTGAACGGCCGAGCTGCCCTCCCTGGTGCTCGGTTTCCAGGAGATAGCGACCTCCGCATCCGATACAACCACAACCTGGGGCTGAGCTGGGGGATCAGGTACTTGGCACTTATCTACAACAAAGGCAATGACACAAGTCAAACCTGAACTCAGCAGGAACAGCAAACAGCAGTCAATACAGAAATATGTGAATTGGCAGAGCAAGACGAACACCAACCGCCATCCACATATAATCTCAGGAGACAGATCATGGATTCGATTTGTAACTGATTACTACATTGATTTATCACATTCATCTACATCAGTCGCTGCTCATTTGTGAAGTATTACCGACACAACAACACAAAAATCAATGGCAAACCACTTCTAAGTAACCTGAATGTGTACATAAATGCTGATTACCAGTGTTTTACTAAAGCCAAACAAAGAGCCCCACAGTGTGTTGTGCGATTATCATAAATCTCTCCATATACCAGAACACTGCTTATATCAGCTAAATACAAATATACTGTATCTAATATAGGGATTGAAAGTAAGAAAAAACTGTAAAATGGTAATGAAGAACACTGCTGGCTCTGCTTAGATTCAAATAGGCCACATAACATAACAGGTTGACCATTCACGCCAAATCACTGAGTTTTATGATGCTAAAGAGCATTTGGGTATTTGACAGCCACTCAGGTACAAAAGTCATCTAATTTATGGTCTCACCTTGGGATAACGTGAACACATCTCTTGGCATGCTGGCTCTTCCTTTTCCTGCCCAGCTGTAGGCTCCAACACTAACCCGATGCAGAGTCCCTGGCTGGAGGTTGCCGAGAACAGTTTTCTGATTGGAGATATAACAAAATGAAGTATGTGTGTACAAGAAAATGCAAACAGCTAATATGCTTTAAATGTAGAAAATCTTCAGATGACAAATAGATTATATATATATATATATATATATATATATATATATATATATATACAGTATATATATATATATTATAGTATATACAGTTCTAGACTCCTGTTTGTGTTTTTTCCTTAATATTCCCTTTTTAGCTGGCTCCTATCACCACCTGCCATACTTCCACCATCAGTCAAGCCCGTGGCACGTTACTGAGGGGCCAAGGACAGGATGACAAGCAGTGGGCAATCCAGTGGGCTGGGAGAGAAGCCAGCAGCTGAATAAGTGACATATTGGAAAAAAAATGTGGGTGGTTGAGGTGTACAAGTACATTTCAGGGAAGGATGGGGGAAATTTATGTTGTGGGTGGTTTTGTCCTAGGATGCAGGGGGATTGTACTGGGGGGATGGGTAAAGCATGCTCTTGAGGCACTCTGTGCATTCTTTACTCTTGACTGCTCACCCATGCACTCTGTGTATTACTTACTCAGGAACCCTGCACCCTGTGTGTTACACACTTCTGACCCCTGAATTATGTGACTTAAACCCTCCTGACCCCTGCACTCTGTGTGTTACACACTCCAAACCACTGAACTCTTTGTGTTACACATTCCTGACCCAGTGGTGTATTTTTTTTTGTGTGCTGCCCTAGGCAACACAAGAAGCGCCCCCCCCCCCCCCCCCCCCCCCCCCCCCCCCCCCCCCCCCCCCCCCCCCGCCACCACCAACCCCATCTCCAATGGGCATAGTGGGGCTTGTATATCTATGAGTGTGCCAGCACCTCTCAGCAGTAGTGTGGGATGTACAGGCTTGTCTCTGCAGGCAGCCAGGCTCAGATATCCCTGTTGTAGCAGGTTGTGAGGACAGCCCAGGCTCCTTCCATGTAAGCTGTCTTCCTGGGTCACCTCCATCATCTGCCCAACAGTCCTACCCCCCGCACCCCCCCCCCCCACCTTCCGCTCGCCACCAACAACCGATCAGTCGTCACCACCACCCCAACCGCTAGATCTAACAAGCCGCTGTCCTGACCCCTGCACTCTGTGTGTTACACACTCCTGACCCCTGCACTCTGTGTGTTACACACTCCTGACCCCTGCACTCTGTGTGTTACACACTCCTGACCCTTGCACTGTGTGTTACATACTCCTGACCCCTGCACTCTGTGTGTGTTACACACTCCTGACCCTTGCACTGTGTGTGTTACATACTCCTGACCCTTGCACTCTGTGTGTTACACACTCCTGACCCCTGCACTCTGTGTGTTACGCACACTACTGACCCCTGCACTCTGTGTGTTACACACTCCTGACCCCTGCACTCTGTGCGTTACACACTCCTGACCCCTGAACTCTGTGTGTTACGCACACTCCTGACCCTTGCACTGTGTGCGTTACATACTCCTGACCCCTGCACTCTGTGTGTTACACACTCCTGGCCCCTGCACTCTGTGTGTTACACACTCCTGACCCCTGAACTCTGTGTGTTATACACTCCTGACCCTTGCACTGTGTATGTTACATACTCCTGCCCCCTGAACTCTGTGTGTTACACAATCCTGACCCAGAACAGGGTGGGCTCAGGCTTTATTTTACCTTTAAGCAGTTTGGCTCCACCCATTGTTTGATCCCACCACATATGCTCTGTATGTGTACGCATCTATACTTTTTTGTCAGCATTGATCTATTTAAATTTTAGCATTTAGGTCTACTTTAAGTCTATGCTCTAGAAAGATGCCCTGACATCAATGTTCATCTCTGACACTCTCAGAACAAAAGGGTATATATACTAAAAATGTTCTAGGCAGTGAAAGAGTTATGTTCTTCACGTCCATAACTGACAGATGGCAATGATTCTGCAAAAATTGTTCTGAAATTTTGTAGTATATTTGGAGGAAATTGCATGCTCCGTCAACATGTGTGAAGTGGGATGACTCAGTGGTATAACTGCTTTAATTACAGTACAAAGTAAAACTCTTTGCAGACCATCTGCTGCTTTTCTATATTCCACAAGTCTGTCACAAGTCCATCAACACTGCTACGTAGTAATAGCCTCAGCCACAATACAAATGTACAGTACATTGGTGACGTATCCAGCCGAGCGGCAGAGGTACTTACAAATGTTTCCACTGCATCTAGTTGCCCCTAAAAGAGAAACATTTCACAGCTTAGCTATTTTTCTTTTGTAAAACAGCTTTTAAAATAGCACTTATGGATTGCATTCGAAATGTTAAATAGAAAACTTGTGGAACGGGCTCTTACCAAGACACTCCACTGTGGAAAGAGATTAGATGAGCTACAGTAAGTTCACAAAGATGGATAAGAAAAAGGATACACAGTACTCATGTACAAAGGTGATAAGAGAATATGCCCTTGTAAAGCTAACTCCAGGCAAACAGCTATATATGCAGCTGAAATATATATATGGGTACAGATCTACCTGTTAAAGGATTCCTAAATCAGTCTTGTGTCCAAAGTACAACTGCTGAATACCACAGCCAGATCCATCGTAGTACTGATCCAAATATCTAACAGCCGGCTGTAGTGAATGTAGGAGCTATCAGGTCCTTTCTGTACTTGATCATCCCAGGCTTAGTGCAGGGGAGATATTAAGGTTCTATTAGACCCCCTGATGTCTCTATAAAGCAGACATGTCACTACAAAATACTATCACATGGGGGTTCATCAGCCCCCTTGTTACAGCAATAATATAAATAATAAGTATGCATATATGAACTCGCTTTGACTTTCTAATTTGCATGACTCATTCCAATCAGTGACTAGAAAAGTATTAAAGTCCAACTCCAGGAAAATAACAAAATATCCCTTGAAGTGGGGCTGTGCCTGCACTGCAAGGGTTAATTGATCATCGTTTGTCCAAGGGAAGAAAATATTTTTTATTTACTTACCCGACCTTCCGCTCCTCCCCGCAGCTAGACTGGTCCTCAAAGCATCTGCACCCCCATGTTCTCAGGTCTAAGGTACTGACATCATCAAGACCAAAGCAGGATCCAAAACCCTGCTGTGGAAGTTTGGACGCTGAAGGGTTTATTTACTAAAGCTGGAGAGTGCAAAATCAGACTCACTTCTGCATAGAAACCAATCAGCTTCCAGGTTTCATTGCCAAAGCTTCATTGAACAAGCTGAGGTTAGAAGCTGATTGGTTTCTATGCAGAAGGGAGGATTTTGGACTCTCCAGCTTTAGTAAATAAACCCCTGAGGGACTGTCCACTGCTGGATCATAGGAGAGCACCGTCTGCTGGGGAAGGGGGATTCCAGGCAAGTAAACTTCATTGCTTCTCCCCAGACAAAATGAACAATTGACCCTTGCAGTGCTGGTACAGGTCCACTGCAACAAATCTTTTTTTCTTTATCCAGAGTTGTACTTTAAAGGATAAGTTTACCTTTGGGAGAATGTTACCCATATTTAGGGTATAAAGTGTAACATGGTCCAAGCCCCCCCCCAACACACACACCTCCCCGATCCTCCCCCTGGAATCTGCTGATCACGGGTAAAATGCTTTCCAGGATCCTGAGGGAAAAATAATAAATGCACAGTTCTGCAGGAATATGTGCATTTAATCTTTTCCCAAAAGGCGAACTTAGCCTTTAAAGCAAGAAAGGGCCAGGCAATTAGAAGTTAGAGAAGTCAGACATGGCAGCCTCATATATCTCACAATGGGAATACCATTTAAGGCAATGAGTTGCATCAGTAGTTGTACCACTTTGACACATTTGGCCCCACAAAACTTATATCAAAGCTAATAATTATGTACAGTGAATTTGAATACATTTCATTAAAAAAAAAATTAGAAAATATAAAATATGATTTTTTGCATTTTCATATTCAGCAAGAAGATGGCATTCCTGACTCCTTTTAACATTTTCCATGCTCTCCTTTGGTTCTTGGTTAAAAAAAAGCCTGCCTATAGATCTCAGAATATGTAGACGATCTAAGTAAAAACCTGCCAAACGTTAAAAAATTTAATTCACCACCAAACAATTATGGTTACAAAATCTTTGAAAAACAATGTTGCCAAAGCTCCTAAATTCAGCCTAGGTATTTAGGCATCTCTGACTTTTTGTAAAAGGAAAACCTGCGCTACATCCAACAAATTAGAAAATTGACAAAATATGAAATGAATGGCAATAAACAAATAGATAAATGAATTACTGAAGTGAACTGCTGCTACTCTCTTCCTGAATACCAGAAAATAAAGAGAACAAAAAATAAATGAGTGTGCTGTACACTAAAACAATAAAACCATATGACTAAACATAATATATCCAAAAACATGAGTAATTATGTGCAAATACTGATTGTGCAAAAAATATCTACAGTGCTAAAAAGTCCACATTTTTCAGCACACAGCACTTTCACATTGGATTTGGGACTTTTATGCTTATTCACTTCATGCATTTGGACATTTTAGCACTTTAGATATTTTTTCCACAATCAGTATTTGCACATAATTACTCTTGTTTTTGGATATATTATGTTTAGTTATGGGGTTTGATTGTTTTAGTGTGCATCTCTGACTTTTTATCATGAAAGGTTTGAGTTACTGTCCACCAGCCAGTCAACCAGAGTAAAAAAACAATTCAGAGAATAAAGGCAGCTTTAAAGAGAGTTAAAATATGAAAACCCAAACTTTAAATAAATTGTCACATTTACCCTTCAATGAGCAAGGGTTTCAAGAAGGGAAAGGATAGTTTTTTAATGTTCAGTGATGGGCACCATAGAGTTTTTATCTTGAACGAATATTAATACATGGCTTATCTTTCGAAGTCCTTCTTTACCTGTTAATTGGAAGAAAGTTGTCTTCTGTAGCTGCTCATCGTAAATAATTTAGTA